AATCTATAGGTTCCAGTAACCCCGGGAAGATGCGCTCTTGCCCTGGGGAGCCCGAGGGCCCGGGTGAGGGAGAAAAGGCTTACAAGAAAGTCACAAGATAATTCGTATTTAACTCTGACAGTTACCTTGGGAATTGTATGCTGATAGCATTTCTCCCTTTTCCGTGGTTTGATGGAAACATTTTCTCTGATTAATAAAAGACCCGACATAATAACCCACCCAATAGGACATCTTAGTGGGAGTAGCTGGTTATAGTCCCTTCAGCCTGAGATGAAGTGCCCGCTATAGAGCCCAGTCTATCAGGGGAGAATCACACAAAACTGTCCTGAGACTCTCCGCTCTTTTCTCCCTGGGAACGAACACCCCTAAATCGAAAGGGGACTCGAGGGGAGGAGGAGGAGGCACAGGTGTGAGCCCTGGAACTGAGGAGGAAGCTCTTGGTGCTGAAGGGAGCCCCTTGGCCCGGTAGACACGGCTGCCAATGGGAGTACTGCTGCGTTGAACACTTAGCTTTCTATTTTTAGATCAGCAAGGCAAAGAGCACCTTCAAATGAAAATGCCTGAAATATTTTTAAAAAGAGGAAAATTGGAGAGGGAAAAAGAAAACTTGGCCTAAGGAAATTTCCAGGCAGTTCTAGGGATGCTTTGAGGGGATCCAAATGATGCGCGGCTCCCCTGTACCCTGCCTAAAAGACAGATATTTTCAGAAAAGGAAGGGGGAAGCACACACACACACTCACACACACTCACACACTCACACTCCCTTTGGAAGCACAGTCCCTTTGGAACTGGGACTTCCTACTCCCATCCCTCCCCGCCTCCCCTCTGCTAGTCTGCCCAGGTTGAGCCAGCTCTTCCCATTTCTTGCTGGGCTCTGGCCCTCACCCTCCCAGCGCCCCGCTGGGCCACAGCCAACGGCGGCCCCACAACTCGGCCAGGTCACCCTGGAGCACTTTGCAGGTTCACGCCTCCCTCACCCAGCACCTCCCGTCCACCGCATTCCTCTTTCTGTTAGAAAACAGAAAAGGGAAGAAAACGGAAAGCCCTTTTTGGCCTACAATTTCGGGGGGGGGGGGGCGCTGGGACTCTATGGTCCTAGGTGACACATGTCGGATAATCTCCCAAAGTAGGGCGCCCGTTTGGGGAGAAATCCACGTAGGACTCTACAGTCACGTGCGTTTAGGGACCTCTTGCTGGGAACTCTGGAGGCCTGCGACGGGTCCCACACCCACAGGGGCAGATTGTCCAAAGGTCGCTTTTATTCGGCCGTCCACAGATATTTATTGCGCACCTACGAAGCTACCTGGCATTTTCCTTTTCCCTTGCGCTGTTGCTGTCCAGTCCCATGGCCGTCCTGAGACACGGCCTACCCGCCGCCTCTCTCCCTAGAGAACCGGTGTCGGGTCTGAAGAGCGACCTGCAAACGCGCTCGCAGCCGCGTGAAAAGTACTAACCACCGAGGAGAGCGCGGGGTTCCCGCCAGGGATTGCGGTTTTTTACCTCAAGGGAACCGAGCCCCCTGAGAATTGAGAGAGAGAAGGGATATCCACTTCCCTGAGCACCTCTATAGAGAACATCGCCCGGGGCTGAGATCTTCGGGAGACTCTGCTGCTCAACCCAACCGAATTCTCCGGGGACATGCACCCCTGCTGAAAACGGATTTAGACACGCTCCCCACTTTTGCTAGGAAATTTTGGAGAGGGAGGTTACGGTCCCTAATTCCCCAGGTAAAGGGAACCCCATTCGCCCACGCCATCCACTGCCACCCGGAGACGGAAACCCCCCCTGTGAGGTGTGTTCACACCGCCCCACAGAGCCCACGAAACTCGCTGTAATCCAACATCTCTGGGCTCCGGACTTGGCGCCCGCGTAGACGCGGAGGGAGCTCGGCGGCCCAGGCTAGGGAAATTGAACCCGGCGCCGGCCCTAGTCGCTGAAAGAGACGGGGCGGGGGGTGATCCCGGACCTTGGCTTCCCGAGGCCCGCCTTGGGATCTGCTTGCACCTCCAAGTCTCTGCCCCCGCGGCAGACCTCGCGGCGCTTGCTTAGAGCGGGGCCCGGAATGCACGTCGCAGACTGGTGAAGGGCCCTCCGCTGCCTGCCGCTTTTCTTGCCCTGCACCCTTTCCCCACCAGAAAGAGGAGCCCACCGCGTTTGGCTCTCGGCAGCATGCCCTGGCTAAGACGGAGCCAACAGACTCAGTTTCCCGATCTGTAACCTGAACATTGAGAATAGGTTCCTTTCCCTCTGGCGCTCTCTGACACTGGTCCTCTGGTAGCGGACCGCGAGCGTCTTCCTGGGGCAGGGAGGAGAGGTCAGGGGAGACCCGAGAAACTCACACCGAGCCGAACCCCTGAGTGGGGGTGGGGGAGTGGGCACCGGAGCCCCTGCAGAAATACAGAACTAATCAACGGTGTCCACGACTCAGACTTGTCCTGGTCCTGGCACACGAGCAGAGGGCAATGTCTGGAATTTGGGGACAGGGGTCCTTCTCCTGAACCCGGTCTCCCCGTTCCATGCAGACTAGAAACGTCGGGCACCTTGAACGCTCTTCTCTTGCCATGTCCCGTATAGACACACACCTCCCAGTTCCTCTAACTGGGCTGCCTAGAGGTGAATCCAAACGGGAGGAAATATCGAGTAGGAATTTCTGCAGAGATAAATCTCAGCAGCAAAGCAGTCCTGATTGAGTGGAGCACACCACCACCAGCCCCCACCACCATCAAAGTTTTCCGGCCGTATCTGTGAGTTAAACAGTTTCTGAGCTTTTGGCGCCCCCTCTGGATGAAGCTGAAAATTGCACCATTTAAAAAGTCCACTGTTTATCACTTTTCAAGAAGATACAATACAAAGTGTTTGCATCAAACGAACAGAAAATGTACAAAACACTGTAAATTTATGATTTAAAATTCTATATATTACGTATCTCCTATAACGTAATTGTATTAAATATGTATTTATGTGTATGTATTTATCTTGACAAATATTTAGAGAAATATTCCAAAATATCTTAAAGTCACAGTCCTCAGTGCCTTTAAGCCAGTAAACACGAGAATTGCAATAAAATGCAACTAAATACAGACGCCTTGGTTAAAATTTCTGCCCGAAGTTCTGGTCTCTGAGTGTCCTCCTGGGTCAGGTGCCTACGAATCACCCAGTTATACTCACAAATGTCCCCTCCCCACGACACAGAAATCAGTTGATACTACGCGGGACTCTTCTCCCAAGAAAGGACGAAGTTGTTCTTATACTTTTCCAGCGTATTCACGGAGCCATGAATACGTGGCTATTGTATGGAGGTTTCTAAAACTTGTAAACAAGCTATAGCGTACCAGAGACATCCACTGTGAGTGAGTTACATTCGTTTAAAAAGTAAATAGTATTTAACTGTAGTTGCAACTTACTACCTTCTGAAGAGTTCCGTTCCCTATAAGAAAGGTCGACTTCTTCGGAAGAAAATGAGACAAAACGAGATTAAAAAAAAAAAAAAAAAAATCTTCCAGGAAAACATTCTTTTAAATCTTGCAATAGTGTCCGCAATGTGCAAATTAGAAATGAACAAGTCTTTGCTATGATGCGGGCCGATTCACCATAACAATAATTTAATTCGAAGCGGACATCTGGGAGAGCCAGAAGGGGGGAAGTTTAAAATTAGGAGATTTCCACAGTTGTGCGTTTATTTGTGATTCTGAAGACATGTAACCCGCAGGAGCCTAGGATTTTTTTTTTCTTCTCTTCCAGAGCTGATACCTAACCAGGCACTAAAGGCAGTTGGTGCAAACACAAAGGTTGTGCTCAAATCACACTTGAGATACACCAGAGACACCCCCAATCCCTCCCCCAGGACTTCTAGCTGTCTGCGAGTCGGAGAAGGACCCGATCACAGTCAGGAGACGGGAGCGTCACCCCTCCAGGTGTTTTGTAAAGGAGGACGAAAACAGGCGAGCTGCACGACTCCACCAAAGCGGAGTGTTTTGTCTGCGGTGGTGCCCGTGTGTTTGGCGTTTTACAAACCAAGGGACTGGCCTCAGCCTCTCGGCCCGGGACGGCCACATTCGCAAAGTTCGATCTCTCAAAGCCAGAGCAGTTTGCAAGCTCTTTCCAGTGGCAACCCTGCTGACGTTTGGATTCGGCTAGGAGGTGAAAAGCAGAACGTCAAAGCAGTTGCCTGTCACCGAGCAGTGTCGCGGGGTGGGGGCTTGGGGGGGCTGGAGAAGGACTTGTCAGAGTTCAAGGTCGCTGTGGCGCGGGGACGGCTCCCGCGAGCGCGGGGCTACTGCGTCCCCGCCGCCGCCGCCGCCGCCGCCAGCCTTCGCCCGGACTTAGCTTTGGTTTTCATTGATTCCCCTTGCAAGAGCGCAGCAGAATCCCAACCAGCCGCACCGGCCCCGGCGAACCAGAGCGTGTTAATCTATTTATATGGATTATTACAGAGGGAACAGCGGGCGTTGAGTCACCAAAACATTTGCTTCGAAAGACCATTTCTAAGCACTTTCGGAGGAGGCAGTCTCCAGGAGCATAAACTGGGCTACGCGTTAAAGAACGACTGCTTTACGAATTCTACAAACTCCAGCTAAGTCTCCGGGGCCGCGCAGAAAGCAGTGAAAAGAAATGCTTGGGGGTGGGGGCAGATCCTAGTCTAGACACGCGCGCGCGCGCGCACACACACACACACAGGCACGCAAAATTCGTGCGGAGACGGCACCAAACTTCTGACATTACGAGAGTATGGCAAACTTACACACTTGGACGTCCCGGGTCCCCCGCCTTCCCCGCTGCACCCCCCCCCAACGCCAGACCAGAGGCAGCGCTCCCCTCCCCGCTCCTCCCCTCCCCTCTCGTCACCCAAGCCCAGTGCCACAGTCCTCCTCCCCGCAAAATCCAGTCCAATCAGCTGCCTGCCAACCCCTGAAATGCCGTGCTGTGATTGGCTGGCCGTCTCTAAGGTGAGGAGCAGTAGTTATTAAAGAGCCCCGGGGCTGCGAGTCGAGGAGCTGAGAGCGGAGCTTGAGACTCCCTGGAAACTTGCGCCGCGACTTGCCAGTTTCACTCCGGGAACTTTTCTTTGCAGGAGGAGAAGAGAAGGGGTGCAAGCGCCCCGCTTTTGCTCTCTTTCTTCCCCTCCTCCTTCTCCTCTCCAGTTCGCCTTACCCCACTTGGAGCGGGCAGCTGCGGGCTGGCCACCGCGCGCCTTCCCGAGTGCTCGCCGCCGCAGCCGGCTGGCGTGCCAGGCTCCCCGGGAGCCGCTCGCTCCGCGTTCGGGCAGCCGAGGGGAGGGGAGCCCGCGCCTCGAGTCCCCGAGCCGCCGCGGCTTCTCGCCTTTCCCTGCCACCCGCCCCCTGCCCCGGGCCCGCGTATGAATCTCCTGGACCCCTTCATGAAGATGACCGACGAGCAGGAGAAGGGCCTGTCCGGCGCCCCCAGCCCCACCATGTCCGAGGACTCGGCGGGCTCGCCCTGCCCTTCGGGCTCCGGCTCGGACACCGAGAACACGCGGCCCCAGGAGAACACGTTCCCCAAGGGCGAGCCGGACCTGAAGAAGGAGAGCGAGGAGGACAAGTTCCCCGTGTGCATCCGCGAGGCGGTCAGCCAGGTGCTCAAGGGCTACGACTGGACGCTGGTACCCATGCCGGTGCGCGTCAACGGCTCGAGCAAGAACAAGCCGCACGTCAAGCGGCCCATGAACGCCTTCATGGTGTGGGCGCAGGCGGCGCGCAGGAAGCTCGCCGACCAGTACCCGCACCTGCACAACGCCGAGCTCAGCAAGACGCTGGGCAAGCTCTGGAGGTAGGGCCGGCGCGGCAGGGTGGGCTCCGCGGTGGCGGGGGGCGCTGGCCAGGACACACTCTCGCGCCCCGCCTCCCGGCAGGAGGGAGTTGCCGGTCCCGGAGGCGGCGGACGGCGGCGGCGGGGAGGGGGGGTGCTGAGTGGTGGGGGGGGGGGGGGCCCGAAGTGTAACTTGGCTCAGAGTTTGACAAAGTTCTTGGATTGCTCTCTAGGGGGAAAGGAAGGGAGGCGGGGAGGGGGGGAGGGGAAGGGGGCCGAGAGAGTCAGAGGGTGGGAGAAGACTTGTGGGAGACACGGTGGGAGGGGGCTGCCAGCCCTATCTCCCGTCTCTGTGAAGTTCAGTTCGATCCCAAGTGGGGCGTTGGGTGGGAAGAGAAGTTTGTCCCTCTCTCGCTCCAACTGCGCTCTGTCGTGTAGCCCCACGGACCAAGGAGATGGGGTGGAGGGGGGGAGACTTCAAGGCCAGAGGAGACTACCGGCAGGAATGGGGGGGGGGGCGCTGCTGGAAATAGGTGGGGGGGGGGCAGGAGGAGCTCCTTGCCGATTAAGTGGGTTTTGGGAAAGCTTTTAAGAGTGTTGGGGGCGGGGGGCGTTATAACTACAGTAGCAGAGGCACTTAGAACAGAAGCAGCCGAGAGCTATTTTCATCTCCAGGGTTTTCCAAAATAGAAGGAGCGAGGGCGGGGCGGGGAGTGACCGCTCAGGTCGGACTAAAAGAACCGAGATTTAGTTTTCCTTTTTTTTTTTTTCTTTCTTTCTTTCTTTTTTTTTTCTCTTTTTCTTTTTTAATTTAAGAAAAGTTACGAGCTGCAGCAGTGGCTGGAAAGCAGGGAGGAGGGAGGAAGGGGTTGTGTGCGAAGAAGCCGAGTGGTCGGGGTCACCTCCCCCTCCCGCCGACCTGACAGCTCAGCCGGTTTCACAGAACCCCCTCTGTTTCTCTCTGCGCCCCCTCCCCGCCCCCAGACTGCTGAACGAGAGCGAGAAGCGGCCCTTCGTGGAGGAGGCGGAGCGGCTGCGCGTGCAGCACAAGAAGGACCACCCGGATTACAAGTACCAGCCGCGGCGGAGGAAGTCGGTGAAGAACGGTCAGGCGGAGGCCGAGGAGGCCACGGAGCAGACGCACATCTCCCCCAACGCCATCTTCAAGGCGCTGCAGGCCGACTCGCCGCACTCCTCCTCCGGCATGAGCGAGGTGCACTCCCCCGGGGAGCACTCGGGTGAGTCCCCCCCACAGCCCCAGGCTAAGCCTCCCGCGGGCCCCACGGGCACACCCCAGGTCTCCACCAAGTAGGCTTAGGGACTTTGCGCTCCCCGGGGAGGGAAAAACTACCCGTAGCGCCTAATCCTCCTCCCCTCCCAGCCCAGGGCCCCGCGAAGCACCCCCCCACACACACACACACACAACTCAATCTCTACATCCTAGCAGATTAATTTTTATTGCGAGGTAAAATGCCTTTACAGCTTTACAGGACTTCTTACTCCTCTCGCTCCGCCACCCCAGAAGCGCACACAGGGTTCTTCCACAAGTAGCAATTCTGTCCTCCCGACCCTCCGGGCCTCAGACCCAGCCCCCCTCCTCCCCGTAAAAGGAGATCGCCGAATGTGTACTGGCAGGTTAATCATTTGGCGACTTATCTCGGGTGCACCGCGCCTCCCGCGCGGTTGCGGGTCTTTCTGACACTTTAGCTTGGAGGGGAGAGTCCCAGGAGGGTTCCTAAGATTAGGGCCTTTGCACAGCCCTAATTGACTTTTCTATGCTGCTGCTCTTTTATTGCCCGCAGGGCAATCCCAGGGCCCACCGACGCCCCCCACCACCCCCAAAACCGACGTGCAGCCCGGCAAGGCTGACCTGAAGCGCGAGGGGCGCCCCCTGCCAGAGGGGGGCCGACAGCCCCCCATCGACTTCCGCGACGTGGACATCGGCGAGCTGAGCAGCGACGTCATCTCCAACATCGAGACCTTCGACGTAAACGAATTCGACCAGTACCTGCCGCCCAATGGGCACCCGGGGGTGCCGGCCACGCACGGCCAGGTCACCTACACGGGCAGCTACGGCATCAGCAGCACGGCGGCCACCCCGGCGGGCGCAGGCCACGTGTGGATGTCCAAGCAGCAGGCGCCGCCGCCGCCGCCCCCGCAGCAGCCCCCGCAGGCCCCTCCGGCCCCACAGGCGCCCCCGCAGCCCGCGCCCCCGCAGCCGCAGCCCGCGCCCCCGCAGCCGCAGCCGGCGCACACGCTGACCACGCTGAGCAGCGAGCCGGGCCAGTCGCAGCGAACGCACATCAAGACGGAGCAGCTGAGTCCCAGCCACTACAGCGAGCCTCAGCAGCACTCGCCGCAGCAGATCGCCTACAGCCCCTTCAACCTCCCGCACTACAGCCCCTCCTACCCGCCCATCACCCGCTCGCAGTACGACTACCCAGACCACCAGAACTCCGGCTCCTACTACAGCCACGCGGCGGGCCAGGGCTCCAGCCTCTACTCCACCTTCACCTACATGAACCCCGCGCAGCGGCCCATGTACACGCCCATCGCCGACACCTCCGGGGTCCCTTCCATCCCGCAGACCCATAGCCCGCAGCACTGGGAACAGCCGGTCTACACACAGCTCACCAGACCTTGAGGAGGCCTTGCACCAGGGGGGATGCTGACCGCGTGATGATCCTAAAAAGCACCGAAGAAAGAAATGACCAACCAGAATTTCCTTGACATTTTTTTTCCCTTAGTCCTTAAAGACATTTAAGCTAAAGGCAACCCGTACCCAGATTCCAAGACCGAACCATTAGCTATCCAAACGCATTACCACCTTGTTGCAAATCAGTGGCCAGGCCGCTCGTGGCCAGGCGGACCGGCGGAATCGAGGAGAAACCGAACTTGAAAACTTTCTTCAAAGCAAGCAATGGAGGATAAATGGAGAATCATCGTGTGACCAATTTGCTCAATCTTTCTGCCTGTTTGAACTTTGTAATTATTTTTTAGCAGTAATTAAAGAAAAAAGTCCTCTGTGAGGAATATTCTCTATTTTAAATATTTTTAGTATGTACTGTGTATGATTCATTACCGTTTTGAGGGGATTTATACATATTTTTAGATAAAGAAATTAAATGCTCTTATTTTTCCAACAGCTAAACTACTTAGTTGAACAGTGTGCCCTAGCTTTTCCTGCAACCAGAGTATTTTTGTACAGATGAGCTTTCTCTTACAAAAAAAAAACAAAAAACAAAAAACAAACAAAAAAAAAAGTGTGTGTGTGTTGTTGCATTAACATTAAAAAAAAACACGGATTTGTGTTACGTGATCAGTTTTGGGGGTTAGCTTTGCTTAATTCCTCAGGCTTTCTGATTCAAGAAGGAGCTGCCTTAGAAAGAAAAATAAAGGCCTTATTTTGCAAATATGGGAGTAAACCATAGTCTAGAGAAGCATTTGGTAAGCTTTATCATATATATATTTTTTAAACGAGAAAATACCTTGAGCCTTAAAACCGTGCTGCTGGAAAATACTTGTGCTCTCTGTTAGTGCATTTCCTTCCTTCCGCATTTGCTTGTTTGTTGCAATCTTAAGAAAGAAGTGAAAACCAAGCAAAGGAGATGAAATCTGTTCTGGGAATGTTTCAGCAGCCAGTGAGTGCCCCCTCCCTGGTTGCCTGCTCAAGCCCCTTGTGGGACACAGATGCTGGAGCCTTCTCCCTTACGCTGTCACCTGCGCCTCTCCAAACACCAGCAGTGAACCTTTAAGACATTCCACGAGCTAAAATTATTTATTTTGTAAGGAGAGGTTTTCGTTAAAAAAAAAAAAAATCTTTTTCTTTAAAAATTTTTTTTTTTTTAAATTTTACCTTCTTTAAAATAGGTTGTTGGAGCCTTCCTCAAAGGGTATGGTCATCTGTTAAATTATGTTCTTAACTGTAACCAGTTTTTTTTTATTTATCTCTTTAATCTTTTTTATTATTATTAAAAGTAAGTTTCTTTGGATTTCTTGTCCTAGATTTGTATAATATACATGCCTTTTTGTCTGTCCTTTTTTTTTTCTTTGTTGTTTTGTTGAAAACAAACTGGAAACTTGTTTCTCTTTTTGTATAAATGAGAGGTTGCAAATGTAGTGTATCACTGAGTCATTTTCAGTGTTTTTCTGCCACAGATTTTTGGGCTGCCTAAATTGTGCGTGTGTTTGTGTGTGTGTGTGCGTGTGTGGACACAAAACAAGGCTGGCATGTGTCATGGATAGTCCCCTGCATGTTCTCTTGGAGACAAGGAGGAAAAGTGGAGGGGATCAGCCCACCGAGAGACCTGAATTCTTAATTCCTTCTGTGGCTGGAGAGTTTGAGGATTGCTTTTTAAAAAAGACAGCAAACTTTTTTTTTTTTATTTAAAAAAAGATATATTAACAGTTTTAGAAGTCAGTAGAATAAAATCTTAAAGCACTCTTATAATATGGCATCTTTCAATTTCTGTATAAAAGCAGATCTTTAAAAAAATATTTCTGTAACTTAAGAAACCTGGCATTTAAATCATGTTTTGTCCTTAGGTAAGGTTTGGTTTGTGTTTGTGTTTTGTTTTGCTTGTTTCCCCCCAAACCTTTTGTTCTCTCTGTGAAACTCATCTTTCCTTTTTTCTTTCTTTTTTTTTTTTTGTATATTATTGTTTACAATAAATATACATTGCATTAAAAAGAAAATGGCCCCCTGGACTGACTTATTTGCCCTCTTCTCCCCTTCAAAGGATGATGTGAAGAATTGAGGCACTGAAGAGATTGTTACATACTGATCACTGTGAGGTTCTTTTTTTATGTTACACTTCTAGCTATCCCAAAATTGGCAGTGATGAAAAGACTATGTCCCCAAAAATCTATGCGGAAAAATCTTAGAAAGTGTCACCCTGTTAGGTCACCTAGACAATTACATGTCAGTAGTTCGCTCAGGCAAAATGTTTGTTGTGCTATTAACAGCCTCATGCTTCAGGGCAAAAGCTGTTTCCCTGTGGAACTCACAGGGGAATATTAGACCTGAAATCGGTAGCTTGTCAGCAGTAGACAGAATGCCAGAGGGGGTGACTTGCCTGCCTCAATTCAGTCAAGCAAACTTTCTATTATCATGAACACATACCAACCAAGGGTGCCATTTAAAAGGCAGAAAAAGCCAAAAGAAAAGTTTTCAAAGAGGACTGGGGGGAAGTCTGTTCTATTAACCCATTATATGTGATTCAGAGCCTTCCTGGTCTATCTGCAGGAACAATGGGATGAGATTACCTTATTCTGCTGTTCCCTCCCGTTTAACTCATTCTGAGAAGATGCAAAACTGTGGTAGAAGTAATAAGACCTAATCCTGTTTTTCTTGGCCTGGGTGGGATGGGAGTTTCCAGGATCAGAGAAACGTCCAGGTCATTTTTCATTAAACAGATGAAATCACTCCTTCCCTCCCACCCCTGCACAGAGACAACCCCCGCCCCACCCCCCACCACCTCCACAGACACCCTGGCTGATGGGGGAAGTGTCTGTAAAGGAGGCAAGTCCCTGTCACCTCAGGCTGGTTTGACTTCTGGGCCCCTGGTATCCAGACTCTCTGGTATTATGCCACATTGTCTGTTTTTGCTTTTTTGGATTCCTGGCTTGGGTCCCACACCAGGATCATGGCAACCAGGAAAATGGTAGTTATCAAATCGAGACAACATTAGTGCTCGGCCTCCTTTGCAAATTCCTTCAACAGCGATTGAGGGCCTGTGATCTGCGAGGCGCTATGCACGTCTCCCCCTGCCCCCACCCCCACCCCCAGACGTCACATTCTGTTGCTGGATTGTGCCACACTGCCCGTTGGCTTAGGCTCAGAGTCTAGCCTCCATTCTTACAAAATCTCTATTGTGTTTCCCCTTGCCAACACTCACGAAGTCCTTTTTAAAGTGTCTGTGGTGTTCACCAATTCTTGTCCACCCTTATTCACCCAAATCCCCTTATCTGTTAAACTCAACACATACCACCCAGTTCTGACCACCCCTTCCCCTACCAAATCCATAATGTATGCAAGATTGTTTTCTCTTCTCCTAGAAATATGCTCTTTTCCTCAGTGTGTGACCTTCCACAGATCTTCTTAGAGCCAGAAGGTTCCATTTGGGTATAATTGGATAGGGCAAGTTGTTTACTTTCCTATGCCTCGATTTCCCCTTTTGTTAAGAACATTTGTAATCTCTCCTCTTGTAACAGGGTTGCTATTAGAGTGGTTTTTAGCAAGAAGTCTGGCAACTGACTGTGTCCGAATCTTCTGGTCCGCACAGAACTCCTACTAGCCCGGTATAAAAGGTAAACAGTAAATGGGGTGTTCACAGGCTGGTTCTGATATACAGGAAAACACAAGAGACAACGAAGCACAGACAGAATTCCTCTGAATCTCCCCCACCCCCGTGCACCAGATCGAGGCAAAGCCCGGCACCACCAGATTATAAAATATTTTAGAGGAATTTTTATTCTAAATCTAGAAACGCAGAGCTTATCACCCTGACAACAAGACATTTATTGAAAACCTAGGAAAGAGTCCTCCAGAACAGAAAAAGCTTATAATTAGATCCAGGGTTATTTTGTTTATTTGCATTCAAAATAAAACCTTTTTTTTAAAAAAAAAACTATCTCCACAAAAAGGGCTTTTTTTTTTTTTTTTTAAACAAAAGGGAATAAACATAAGGAAATAAAAACCTCACTTAGAATCAGTCCTTTGGGCGATTATGAAAATGGCACTTACGGATTAGCTTGAGCTGTGTGTTTGACTTTCCCACCTGAACTCCGTCCTACTCCTTCTTTTCCCTGATTTCCACCCTGAACATTTCTGAAGCACTGCTGGGACACTTGGTAAATTAACTGATGAACTGTCATTATAGCACAGAGAGATTTACCGTGGACGCTAAAGAAGTGTAAGCCTCAGGCCTGGTCACTTGCACAGAGTCCTTGTAAGGCCCTGTACTTAATCTCATATTTTTTTAAAATATTTTATTTATTTATTTGACAGAGAGAGACACAGCGAGAGAGGGAACACAAGCAGGGGGAGTGGGAGAGGGAGAAGCAGGCTTCCCGCCGAGCAGGGAGCCCGATGGGGGGCTCAGTCCCAGGACCTGGGATCATGACCTGAGCCAAAGGCAGACGCTTGATGGAGCCACCCAGGCGCCCCTTAATCTCATATTTTAAAAATGTTTATCCTGGGCGCCTGGGTGGCTCAGCTGGTTAAGCGACTACCTTTGGCTCAGGTCATGATCCTGGAGTCCCGGGATCGAGTCCCACATCAGGCTCCCTGCTCAGCGGGCAGTCTGCTTCTCCCTCTGACCCTCCTCCCTCTTGTGCTCTCTCTCTTACTCTCTTTCTCTCAAGTAAATAAATAAAATATTTAAAAATAAATAAATAAATAAAAATAAAAAATCCTTTTCTTTTTAAAAGAGTGCCCTCCCTCAAACACACACACACACACACACACACACAACTATGTAAGCTCCAGGCCCCACAAAACTTGGGTCTGCCCAAGACCAGAGCTATTGGACATCAGAGGATACAAGGTAGATACTTTTATTTCTGTTCTCACCAGTGCCTGGCACATGGTCTGCTTACGGAACGACGACCCTTCATGGTACCCGTGGACTTGGTGGTAATATTACAGAACACGTCACTGAAAATCTGCCATTTCTAGCGTGCGACCTTACACAGTGTTCTTAGCCCTCTGAGACGCAAGTGATTTTCATTTCTCAAGTATTCTTTCATGGGCATCATGGAGGTTAAATGAAGTAAAGAGCATAAAACTGTCCATTACCTGTCCTTCCTCATTCCTTCACACTTCTGACTCACTTCTAGTGTTTTCTTGTCTGACACCACCTCTTTCTTGCCTTTTCTTAGCCTGTCCTGTTGACTATTGGCAGCTCACAAAGGTTTGTTGGGCCCTGATGGGGTTATTCCTTTGCTGTCATTCACAGACCGGACCTCTTTTCCTCTGTATATCTGAAGAAGAATTATTTTTTTTTTTTAAGACTTTATTTATTTGTCAGAGAGAGAGCATAAGCAGGGAGAGTGGCAGGCAGAGGGAGAAGCAGGCTCCCCACTGAGCAAGAAGCCCGATGCGGGACTCGATCCCAGGACCCTGAGATCCTGACCTGAGCCGAAGGCACCTGCTTAACTCACTGAGCCACCCAGGCGTCCCTGAAGAAGAATGGTTTTAGACCAAATACAACATGGGGCCGGCAATATCGGGTTTGGATTTGAAACAACCAGGCAAAATTCAAGGCAGTATGTACATTCCTGTGAAGCTGCTGCTAGGCACATCCCTTGAAATTTCGGGATTTTATATCAAACTTAATCCAATTACCATGATATCATGCCACCATATTCCACTTGAGGAAGATTTCTATTCCTCATTGTCCCCACAAACATTTGCAAAACATCTCCTGTGGGGCAGGATTCAGCAGTGAACAAGGACTGATGTGGTCCCTGCCCTCATGGGGCTTACATTTTACAGTAGCAAAGGAAGGCATGCCGAAACCAAACATACTCTGGTATTTTCGTGTTCAAATGCTATGAAAAAAAAAATGCAGCTGATTAGGGCCAGTTGGGAGTCTCATCATCCAGGCGGAAGATGATGGTGGTCTAGTCTCGGATGCAGAGGGACTGGGTAGTTGATGGATTTGGGAATGATTTTGGTGAAAACTTCCGGATTTCTTTCTCTCCTAATCTCCATCCATTTTTCAGTGATGTGAATTTATTCTGACCCAATTTACATAAAGGTGACCCACTCTGTTTTTACCTTAGTCATTCCTTCCTGGCCCCCTGCAATAACACTCTTAGTCGTTCTACCTCTTGATGAACCACACATTCATGTATCACACAATTAATTCTCTTTTTGCCAGAGAGCTCAGGAGAACGACCCAGTCCCTGAAATCCAAGAGGGTCTCTTGATCTCTAGAGACTTGCTTAATGCACCCCCCATGTTTGTGGAATCAGAAATGGGAAGTGTTTTAGTTTGGTTGTGT